AAACAATCCGCCCGCCTCGGCCTCCCAGAGTGCTAGGATTACAGGCGTGAGCCACTGCGCCTGGCCAATGAAAGTGCATTTTTAATGATAAAGAACTGTATACTATACAGATTTTCAGAAAATTTTTTAAACATTGAAATATAATTAACTCCAGTTTTCTTGGGTATATAGCACCTTATAGTCATTTTTGTTTAATCTCTTAGCTGACTGCTTGTGTTTCTCCCTTATGTTTATTACACATGTATCTGTACCAGGGATTGGACTAAGGAACCAATAAACATTTGTTGGTTAAATTAAAGAGAGTTACCTAGTTGCTGTGACAAATCTTGCACTAGAATTCACATTTGTTATCTCAAATTTAATTAATTACTGACATTTATTAATAGCAATAAAAAAGCTCTCCAGACTGATAAGAACTAGACAGAAGGCTTTTTCACTAATTCAAAGGGCATCACTAAACTTAACCACCATGGTGTAGCACCTCAGGCTAGGAAAGTGAGACACACTCTCCAGCCTCATCTGAATCTGTGTAGTTTCCTGGTTTTCTCTGGTGGTTGTGAATTCTGGTGTCTTCCAGTATGCCCATATGTATATGTGAATCTAAATATATGTATAAACCAAATGATTTTTTTAAATCAATAGTCATGGTTTCTCTCCTTTAGCAGGATAAATTTTTAAGTTGATTAGGAAATCAGCTACTGAATTCTAGATTTTGTTATATTTTTGAGGTATAATCCTTGATGGTCTTTATACTAAAATTTCTGTTTTCTTATAGAACAACTTCTGGAGTTTATGCACCAGCTCCCTGCTTTTGCAAACATGACCATGTCTGTAAGGAGAGAACTCTGCTCAGTGATGATTTTTGAAGTGGTAGAGCAGGCTGGAGCTATTATTCTTGAAGATGGGCAAGAGGTATGTTGGCAAATAAATGATATACATTATTTAGTATGGCTACTAATTTTTAGAATAATTTAATTTCCGTAAACTTGTATAAATCCTTATTTTTTAACTTCTACAATTTTTTAAATGAATGCTGAGTTTTTATAATTTCCAAAGAGATAAGTTTTTTGTTTTGCTTTATTTTGTCTTAATATTTGATTTACTAGCAATGGACTTTGTGCAGAATAGGTGCTTAATAAATAATATTCACTGAACCAAATTTGTTTTTACTTCTCAAAATAGTTTCTAAGACTTTTTAAAAGAGTCTTAATTATTATTTTCTATATATATACTTTTATTATTATTTAAATGTTTGTCAAATATTTACTCTCCTAATTTCTGTTATACATTTTTTTAAAAAAATAATGAGGAAAATGTATTGATACCAATGCCTCCTAGTGGACTGCTGCCAGTTGAGGCATTTATGTGACAATTCTGTGTTCAAAAATTGGCAACTTGTGGATGGGAAAACAAAGGATGCTGAGGGATTGGAAAGTATTACTGCTGTGAAGAAATGCTTCACTATTTTTCTTATCAAGTATGTAAAGGTTAATGCTGAGATGTCAGTAAATGAACATTGTTACATACTGCTAGTAGGAATATAAGTTGGTACAGCAATGCTGAAAAGTCATTTAGAAATTCTTAACATGGGCCTCAGAGTATTCACAGCCTCCCGTTACTCCACTTATGAGCATCTATCCTGAGGACATATGTACAATTCTGCACTATTTCAAAAGATGTTCATTGCAGTATGTTTATAATATAAATTATATAATTTATATATTTATAATTATATCACATAATTATATATTTATATTCATAAAATATAAGTAAAAATTCATCATGACCAAAATATAATCCAATAATAAGCAATGTTTAGCTGGATTGTTATATAGCTACAGGATATAATTATAGAGGTACTCTAATTATTTTTAAATTATTTGATAGAAGTTCTTTGAGGGCAGGGACCTTTTCTCTGACTCTGTTTACATATTTTCTCCCCACATCCTAGAAAACATCTGGCAAATAGAATATGCTCCCCTCCAAAATTTGATGAACAAGTGAACATAGTATTTTTTTAAAGCAGGATAGTCTCAATATTTCAACAATATAAAATAATATACATAGGAGAGAAATAAATGAAACTTTAAAGAACTGTGTGCAAGCAGTAGGATTTTGAGTAACTTTTCCACAAGTTTTTTGCATTCCTTTAATTTTCCACAGTTCTATCAGGAAAAATTTGTTGTGTGTCTACTTTGTACCAGATGCTATTCTAGACACAGAGACACAGTGGTGAAAAAAACCAGACACAGTGCCTGTCCTCAAGTAGCTTATATAACACATAAGTTGTACAGTGAGTATATTTTATGTTTAAAATAGTCAAGAAAAGTACACTTTTGAAAAAAGTATTTCTTTTTTTTTTTTTTGAGACAGAGTCTCACTGTGTTGCCTGGGCTAGAGTGCCGTGGTGTCAGCCTAGCTCACAGCAACCTCAAACTCCTGGGCTCAAGTGATCCTCCTGCCTCAGCCTCCCGAGTAACTGGGACTACAGGCACTCGCCACCATGCCCGGCTAATTTTTTCTATATATTTTAGTTGTCCAATTAATTTCTTTCTAATTTTAGTAGAGACGGGGTCTCGCTTTTGCTCAGGCTGGTTTCGAACTCCTGAGCTCAAACAATCCGCCTGCCTCGGCATCCCAGAGAGCTAGGATTACAGGCGTGAGCCACCGTGCCTGGCCAGAAAAAAGTATTTCTTATTGCCACTGATTACCCTTCAGAACTGACAATCTAGATTTCCCTTAAATCACATTAAAACGGTTAAAAGTTTAGGCTTATAAGAGGAGTTGGATATTACAGGAGAATAAGTGGTCTTTCATTGATACCCAATAGACTTTTAAAATATATCTTCTTGGAGCATTAAATACTAACGTATAAATGCAGTTTTTTCTTAAGAGAAATTTGAATATTTCATTTTGTTAGATATCCCTCAAAATTCAGGCTTTTACTGGTCTTTCTGAATTAATCACTAGCTGTCTATTTTTTTTTTTTTTTTGAATGCTTGCCATGTGCCAGGCACTGTTTTAAGCCCTTACTATATATTAACTCATTTAATTAACATAGTTCTGTGATAGATACTGTTATTAATGGCCATTTCAGCAGTAGGAAAACTGAGGCCCAAGAAGGTTAAATAACTTGCCCGAACTCACTCAGCTACTTGCTGGCATGGTCTGGATTAAGATTCCAAGAGTTTGTGTTCTTAAACTTTACACTATTTTGCCTCAGAGAATTTGATCAATTATGAAAGCCCTTGTTTGGTGACTAAAAGAAGAAAGTAAGATAAACTTTAGTGGTTTGCATAGACAAGGCATAGGGTATTACTAACAGAGTATTATGTAATATAACCAAATCCTTCTTTTTCTTTTTAAAATTGTACAGATTATGTATATTGATTGTTTTTCAACGTTAACATATAACTATCTTTTTAAAAAGAGTCTTAAAAACTTTGTTTTTCTCTATAGCTCGACTCATGGTATGTTATTTTAAATGGCACTGTAGAAATCAGTCATCCAGATGGAAAAGTTGAAAATCTGTTTATGGGAAATAGTTTTGGAATTACTCCCACTCTGGATAAGCAATACATGCATGGAATTGTCAGGACTAAAGTAGATGATTGTCAGGTAAGCTTATCTCTTTGGTCAAGTACTCTTGCTTGTTTTTTGATTTAAAATAGCCAAGCATGTTTTTTCTTCCTCAAAATAAAATAGCTTGATTTAAGAATTAGGAGTTTCAAATAGCTCACAGTTAATAGAGGAAACTAGATTTTATATCTGCCTCAGATATTTGTGGAATTGAGCAAGCTGTAAATTTTCGAAAGAGAATACATACCAAATAAATGCTGGTTTGTTAAATTTCTATCTGGCATTAGCCAGCTCAGTCTTTTTTAAAAAAATAAAGAAATAGGAACTTCTGAGTTGTTTGTTTCTAATTTACTCCTGCTTTATGGTTTCTTGCATAGGGTCTGTTTTGAGAGAAGTAGACATCCACTTCTCCTTTTAAAGAGGAAAATTCAAACAGATTAGACTTCTTTGGGTCTCTCTTTGTGCCTCAGTTGTTTCACTGCGATTTTTGTTAAGGGTTAAAGGAATTGAATGAAAAATAGCTGATGGCACTTGGTTTCTTACCTTTGTGCTCTGCCTTGGTGCCCAGTAATATATTTATGTACTGCAGGTTCATTAATTGTCCCCATGTTGTTCTTGGGCAGTTTGTCTGCATAGCCCAGCAGGATTATTGGAGAATTTTAAATCATGTGGAAAAAAATACCCATAAAGTTGAGGAAGAGGGAGAAATTGTTATGGTGCATGAGCACCGTGAACTGGACCGGAGTGGAACCAGGAAAGGACATATTGTGATCAAGGTGGGTGTTTTCATGTATTATTCTAGTCACTAATAGAATAAAGCTTTCATCTTGTTTTTAAAAACCACTTTTTGAACCACTTTTTGAGTAGTGCAGGATAATTCACTAACATATTGAAATCTAATCAAATGTGTTGGCTCTTTCGTCTTTTTCTGAGCTGATTGGTTTTTATACATTTTAATGATGAACGATGACTTACTGCCATTTAATGGGATTGGGTATGGGTAGCATATTATGTTGGAATACACTGTTCAAAGTTTTCCCTCTCAGATATTTTATAATCCACTAATTATGTAAGTTGATTTCATCAAAGACAGCAATATTTGTAAACAATACAGAAAGTTCAAGGACCAACCATAAAGGCATAGGGAATTCTAGGTGAAGATGCACAGTGCTTGCTTGAATCTCTGTGCTGTTGAAAAAAGCATCTGCTTTTCCAAATCTCGCTTTTCTTATCTGACAATGGAGGTAATACAACAAGGCTGTATTCCGGCTAAATGAGGTAAATCAAAAGCCATAGCATGATTGTAGAGTCTGAGTGTTAATCCTCATACTGTTGTTTTCCCTTGTCTATGTCTTGTCCTCCCCTACTCCTGGCCTTCCCCCCTCCTTGTCTCTTTAAAGACCTCTGGATGTGAACTAGAACAATTATAGTTGAAAGAGAGGAAATAAATGCGTAACTGTTTCTCTTTTCAAGCTAGTCTTGCTTGCAAAATAAGTGTGTCTTTATTAATTGCTAACGCAACAATTTATTTAATAGTGTGAAGGAGATAAGTTAGATAATTTGAGGTCTGATGTTACGTTCGTTCTTCCTTGGAAGTAAGGCTGTTCCTCAGAGCTGTCTCTTTCTTTTCCTGAACAGGTGAGTGTAAGCTTTGTTTATAGAAAAGGTAAACATGTAAGTGGACTGCCATAGGCTAATGCATATACTTTTTCATTTTAACTCATTTTTGGGGGGCGGGGTCTCATTTTTTTAGTAATTTATTTCTCAATAATTTCAAACTTACAGAAAAGTTGCAAGAACAGTACAGAGAGCTCCCTGACTCAGATTCCCCAACTGTTAACATTTCATTGCACTTGTTCTGTTACCATTTTCTGAAGCATTTGAGAGCAATCTGCAGAGATGATACCTCGTCACTCCTAAGTACTCCATTGTGTATTTCCTCAAAGCACAGATACTCTCTTACATGAACACCACAGAATCCTTCAAGTTAGGAAGTCAACATTGTTAAATAAAACCATTCAGCCCAAAGACCCTATTTAGATTTTTACCAACTGTCCCAGCAAGGTCTTTTTTCATTTCTGGTCCAGAATCTTATATAGGAACGTAGCTGCATCTAGTTGTCATGTCATTTCTGCCTAAACCACTTCCTCAGTCCTTCCCTGTTGTTCGTATCCTCAGCAGTGTTAAAAGATACAGATCTTGTATTCTGTAGTATCACCTTCCACCTGCATCCCTCCAGTGTTTTCTCCTGACCAGGTTCAAGTCCTGCCTTCCTAGGAGGAATTCCATAGAAATGGTGTTGTGCTCTTCTCAGTGCATCCCATCAGGGGGATGTGATGTCAACCTGTTGTCCCACCAGTGGTGAAGTTAACTTTGATGACCTGGTCATGTTGGTGTCCGTCTGCCGCATTTCTTCACTGTAAAGTCTTACCCTTTGTAATTGTTAAGTATTTGGTGGAGAGATGTTCTGAGTTAGTATCAATATGCTATCCACAAACCTTTAGGATATCCACCAGGTAAAAACTTCTATCCACCAGTCTTTACTTCCATTGACTACTCTTACCTCAAATGGTGATATCCTGTTTCCTTAATTTCTCCTACATTTACTAACTGCCACTTTAAGAATGAGCCTTCTCTATTAATTTATTTATGTTGGTATAAGCTAACATTGTATTCCCTTACCATTAGTATTATTCTTAAGCTCAAATTGTCCCCGATTTAGCCAGTGGGTCCATCTTAAAACTCACTCCTATATTTTGTATACATGTCCCCTTCATTCCTGGAGCACTTCTTTATAATATGGGAAATAATAAGGCTCATTTTGAACTTTCCCTGCTCCAGCTCTGGAATCAGCCATTTATCCAGAGAGCCCTGGATCTATTGGAAGATAGCATTTATAAACCAAGATCTGTGCACTTAGTTCATTGCTGCTGATGTCTCATTGCTTTTACAGCTCCTCATCAGACAGATCTAGGAAATAGATACATATATGGTCATTAAATATGAAATGCCCAATTTCTAATCAAAAGTGTGGTTTACTATATCTCAAACAAGAAGCAGTACAGTTAATCAAAATATGCACCTGAACTATTGACACAGTTTTGCCATCTTAATGGTAGCTTGTTTATGCCAGCAGCGAAAAAGCCTGGAGAGCAAGTGGCAATGAAATTGCAAAAGGTGTTTTTCACAGCTTGTTGAGAAGTGAATATTTTTCCTTGTAAGAAATGGCCCAAAGCCTGAAGGAAGTGGTTGTCAGTTGGTGCGAGGTCTGGTGAATATGGTGGATGACAGAGAGTTTCCAAGTCTAGCTCCTGTAGTTTGAACAGACACGCGGTCTAGCATTGTCTTAAAAGAGGATTGGCCTGTCTCTGTTGACCAATCTCAGCTGCTTAATCGCAAGCATCCTCATCATTTCATCCAGCTGGTTGCAGTAGACATTCGCCGTAATCAGTTGACCAGGTTTCATGAAGCTGTAGTGGATAATACCAGTGCTGAACCACCAAACAGACACCATTAGCTTTTTTTGTTGAATATTTGGTTTTGGACTGTGTTTCGGCACTTCCTCTTTAACCAACGATTGTGCCAAACGCGATTGTCAAAAAGAATCCATTTTTCATCACGTGTACCAACATGGTGTAGAAATGGTTTGCCTTTATGTAATAACAGCAAAGAAAGGCAAGCTTCGAAATGATTTCTCTTCTGACGCTCTTTAATTCATGTGGAACCCATCTATCCAGCTTCTTTACATGCGCCCATTTATTTCAAATGGTCCAATATTGTCGAAATAGTAATGTCAAACCTTGCTGCTAATTCACGCGTAGATAGAGATGGATTCGCTTCCACTACAGCTTTCAGCTCATTATCCACCTTGGTCTCAGGTTGCCTGTGTGTCTCATTTTCAAGATTAAAATCACCAGAATGGAACTTCTCAAACCATCAACATACTGTGTGTTCATTAGCCACATTCTTCCCAAACACTTGGTTGATATTTCAAGCTGTCTGCTCTACATTGATTCCATGACGGAACTCACAATCAAAAATAACACAAATTTTTGACTTATCCATGGTGTTAACAAAAATTGCTCTAAAAATAATTTGAAAGGTAATCACAAGCCCAAATGTACTTTTGAATGACTGAGTATTTACCTTCACAATAAAAGTAAAACAAGGGTCAAAGTGAAATGTCAGAGATATCAACTGTCAAACTTAGTACTTAAGGAAATCGGACATTTCATACTTAACACATTAACTGCCAGGTGAGTTGTATTTAACTCACACTAGTTTTGAGCCCAGGGCCTCCTGAAGCCTATGTAAGTCACATGTCTCTTTACCTTGGGAGCCACAAGAACTATTTTTCAAGTTGCATGTAACTCTCGCACAGAAAACAGTAAAAATAACAAATTTTTCATTGAATTAGTAAGGGTCGTTTTGTTTTCAAAGTTTTTATTCTATTTTCGTAATAAAACACCGTGGCCCCAAGGAAAAAAAAAATTTTTTCTGGTGTGGCAGTCAGTGTGTTAATAACCTAATGTGTATATACACACACACATATTTATAAATAAGTACATACACATCTATAACTTTATATATTAAACAACCATGAGTTTATACCAACACTTTTTTTTTTTCACCTCCCACCCACAATATACCAACACTTTTAATTCCAGCGCTGTACCACAGGGTTTTCTCTAGCCTTTTCCTTTCTACGGAAATACCTTCGTAACTACCTTTGTAAATACCTTCGCCAACAGTGGCTCTTGTTATGCTGTCTGTATGTTTACTTATTTGTTCATTGTGTCCCGTCTTTATCATGCCAGAGTAAGCGCCCCAGCCCTGTCTTTTGCCTGCCACCTCTGTGTACGCTGTCTCTTAGCATCCCACCTTTTTGGATGCTAGTCAGCACATTGGTGATATGCCTCTGCATGTTTATGGGGCTCACCTTTAAATAAAATTTTCAATGTATGGCCTACTCTCTGTAGGGACCTTACCTCAGTGATTCAGCCAATCAGAATGACCTCTCTTTAACATGTTGATCAGTTCCCACCCCTGACGTAGCTATACATGATCTAAGAACCAGAGTTAAGTGACCCTAAACCAGTATTGGCTTGAATAATAAACTCCATTTGGGTACTCTTAGGCTTAGAGTGTAGGAAAATAAGAATGACCTATGGTTTCCTTGTCTCTTAAGCAGGTTATGTGAAGAACTTTATTCCTGATTTCCTTCTAGAGAAATGATTTATGTATCTTGTTAGCAGTGGGTGTCTTGTTTTAAAAATAAATTCTTAGCTAGGTGTCAGGGCTCACGCCTGTAATCCTAGCACTTTGGGAAGCTAAGGTGGGAGGATTCCTTGAGCTCAGGAGTTTGAGACCAACCTGAGCAAGAGTGAGACCCCCATCTCTACTAAAATTAGAAAATTTAGCCGAGTGTCATGACAGGTGTCTGTAGTCCCAGCCGTTTGAGAGGCTGAGGCAAGAGGATCACTGAAGCCCAGGCGTTTGAGGTTGCAGTGAGCTACCGTGATGCCACTGCACTCTAACCCAGGGTTACAGGGCAAAACTCTGTCTCCAAAAATAAAAATAAAAAAAATAAATTCTTAGATAAAAACAATATCAGTATTAACATATGTGTATCATACAGTTATCCTGAACAATGAAATTGTTAGGATGAATGCAACAACTTGAAGTTTGGAGTTATGGATCGCAGTTGGTTTTTATATCAGGCTCACCATTTGATTTCTGTATTTGTTCTTTGTAACCACTTTTGAAAAAGCTACAAAGGGTAATAAATTTAACATTTGTTCGGAAGCTCTAAGAGTAGCAGTAGGGAAATGTTTATTTACATTATTTAATAAATTTGGATACAGGCAAGCATTTAAAACTTTGAATTAATGTAAAAATTATCAGTCAAGCTTCTGGTTCCTCTCAAGAGGGTGAAATAGTGTGGAGAAACTAGGGAAGAGGAAACATCTATTCCAGGAAGTAACAGTAAAACAGGGCTATCTTGAACTAACTGGTGTGTTGTTCCTACAATCAGAGCAGAAGAGATTTTCAAGTTTAATCAAATTTGGAGGAAAGCTTTACTTTAAAAAAAAAAAAAAAAAAAGTTTAACTCTCACTTCTTCTTTCTGTTGTCTTGACCGTAATTACATGTCTCTGTTGTAGCAGAAGTGGCAGTAATGGCCCACTCCAAGGGTAAATCCATGTTTGAAGGCCTTGCTATAATGAAATGCCAATAAAAATAGCTTTAGCTGAATAAATGCTGTTGGGTATTTATTTCTCTGCTTTTCCTGTCTCTATACCTCTGGGTGCTAGTGGATTACAGCCTGAAGAGACTACCTTCTCACAATGATAAGGATTCAAAGGTGAATCTCTACTTTGAGGACTTGTCTGATGGAGTATCGACAGAGGGGGATGATAAGCAGTAGTTCTTTGGTTTCTGAGCTATTGGTTTATTTTCCCTTTCTATCCTTGGATTTTTAGGCAACACCTGAGCGTCTCATCATGCATTTAATAGAAGAACATTCCATTGTGGATCCAACTTACATAGAAGATTTCCTATTAACTTATAGGACATTTCTTCAAAGTCCTTTGGATGTTGGGATCAAACTATTGGAGTGGTTTAAGATTGACAGCTTAAGGGATAAGGTTGGTTTTATAAACAGAGCATGAAAGTGATTTTAACCTTTAAATTGTATTCCTGAAATCTTTTGCAGTTGATGGATTAAATGTTTATTTTATAACAAGATTCAGTTCACCTAAAAAATTAATGAGTCAGTGTAGACACAACTCTGCTTACTTTTATGACACAATAGCATGTTAAGAATGAACATGAGCCTTAAAAGGCAAAAACCAAAATAAAACTGTGTTGGAGCTGTAAATTCAGTAGGCATGATAGCTACATGAGAGTATTTTAGAATCTTAAAAAATATTTGGTTGTTTCTGAGGATCATGAAAACATTTAAAGGCTGATTAATAGTTTAGAAAGAATATTGACCAAATAAATTTTTTTCAAGAGGGCTTGTTTTTAAGCTTCAAAATAGGAATATCTTGATTTTCCTTAGTTACAGACTTCATAATCATTTGAAAACAATTTGTCAAACCTTAGTTTATCTCTCCTGTGAGGTATTTAAATCTACCTGTGAGTATTTTCTTGCATTGAACATTGTTTGCTGTTTAAAATTATGTTACCTTATTTCACAAGGTATGTTTTTACATTTAAGGGAAAGACTAATAATATCTTAGTAAGTTGGTAAGAAGTAAGTTGTTTTAAGAAAATAAAAAATAGCGCCGTAATTGTCTGGTGTGTCTTTCTGAATTATATTTTAAAGGAAATAAATTGGATACAGGTAGACTGTGGAATTCTGTTATTTAGAAGACTAAAGTATCCACAACTAATAGGCTTGCCCTCCTCCCCCACTTTTTAGAATGTAATATATTTACTTTGGTTGCTGAGAAAATAAAGACATGCTTAAATAGTAAAAATAGGATTTAGGAGTAAGTAGATATCTATATGTAAAACAATGAAATTATACCCTTGCCTTATACTGTATATAAAAATTTACTCAAAATAGATCAAAGACCTAAATATAAGAGCTTTTAATATTCTTTAAAAAAAAAAAAAGATGGGGATAAATCATCATGACCTTGGAATTGGCAGTGGTTTCTCAAACATGACACCCAAAGCATAAGTGACAAAAGAAAAAAGATAAATAGGACTTCATTAAAATTAAAACCATTTCTGCATCAAAGAACACTATCAAGAAAGACAAAACAACACACAGAATAGGAGAATATATTTCCAAATCATGTATCTGATCAGGGTGTAGTATCCAGAATGTATAAGAACTCTTACAACTCAGCAACAGAGAGAACACAATTATAAAAAGGACTCGAATAGACATTTCTCTAAAGAAGACAATAAATGGCCAACAAGCACATGAAAGTCCCCACGTCGTCAGTCATAAGGGAATGGAAACCAAAACCACAGTGAGATACCACTCCACACCCACTGGGACGGCTTTTTTAAAAAAAGGAGAAGACAACAAACATTGCCAAGGATTTGGAGAAACTGGACATCCACTCCCCCACACTGGTGATGGGAATGTAAAATGATGCAGCCTCTGTGGAAAACAGTTCGGCAGTTCTTCAGAAAGCTTAAGCGTAGAGTTACCATATGACCAAGCAGTTCTACTTCTAGGTATTTACCCAAAGAACCAAAACTGGTGTGCAAACAAGAACTCACACGTAAATAATTCACAGCAGCTCTATGACACTAGCCAGAAGACAGAAACAACCCAAATGTCCATCGTGGAAAAGCAAGAAGTGGTACAGCCGTACAATAAAATATTGCTCGGTGACGAGAAGAAATGAAGTGTGGACACATGCCACAGCGCAGATGAGCCTAGAAAACTCGATGCTAAGTGAAAGAAGCCAGTCACAAAAGGCTACATATTGTATGATTCTATTTATATGAAATATCCAGAATAAGCAAATACACAGAGACAGAAAGGAGACTGGTGGCCGCCAGGGGCTGGAGAGGGCAGAATGGGAAGTGACAGCTTAATGAGTTTGAGGTTTTTTTCTTGGGGTGGTGAAAATATTCCAAGATTCGGAGCTAGGCAGCAGTGACGGTTGCACGACGCTGTGAATGTGCTAAATGTCACTGAGCTGCGCAGTTTACAGTGGTTGAGGTAACTGATTATGTGTGTTCTACCACAATTTTTAAAAATGTGGCTCATGTTTGCATTGTTAGGCACATTATTCAAGTCAACGTACATTTTTTAATTTTTAACTTTTCTGTTAATCTATGGAGCAAAGTAAACACATCATTTCACCATTTTGAAAATTCACAGTATAAGGAAGTTTCAGATTTGTTTTTGTTACAGTTTTGGTTAAATATGTTCTTGACTACAGAAACACGTTTGATGTAGTTTTTTAATTGATGTGATTACCTACATTTATGATGTGAATTTTGCATTTTAAGTTGCTATTTGAAATACATATCCTGTGTACTTCTTACATCTTAGCATACAGGATTGTGTCTTTTCCCTGAGTGCACGGAGTCCTGGCTCTTGTTACTTGTGTATCCAAGGAAGCAAAAGCTTGAACTGTGTCTTCCTGCTAGAATGAGCCTTTTGTGTACCAGGAAGGGGGGCAGGAGGGTCAGCCATAAGGCTCAGTTCCTCCTCAGCTGGGGATGTGCCTTTGGAATCTGCATTTGCAGAAGGACTGCCTCTCATAACCATGTGCTGCCTCGTTCATATTTCCACAGGTAACACGGATTGTGTTATTATGGGTAAATAATCATTTTAATGATTTTGAAGGTGATCCTGCTATGACCCGATTTCTAGAAGAATTTGAAAGAAATCTGGAAGATACAGTAAGGCTCAAAAGAATTTATATTCTTCAAGTTTCTGGGTTATGCCCTCCACCGGCTTCCCATGACCAAGAACAGCAACTCAAAATAGCAAGATCTTTCATCCTATCCTGTGTCTTGACTTTCACTCATCCTCTGTCACCCCACCCAAACAAAACTATGCTTCCTCCTGAAGCTTCCATTTCTGTGTTAAGAATAATGACATCTTATCTCTTACGTACCCAGGCTCATAAACTCTGGTGTAATTCATACATGTGGGCCTCCTCTCTCTTTTACCTTGAATGCCCTGGCCAAGATGTCCAGTTAGTTGCTGAAGTCACCCAGGTCACTGATTTAGACATGCACACATTTTCTTATGGTCTCTTTCTCAGCCATTTCTTTTTTCATTCCCCAGTTTAGGACCTCATTATTTCATCATCCTGATCATAGTTCTAATCTCTCTTCCTTCTAGTCCATTCTGTGTGGCCAAAATACTGTTTTAAACCATATATGTGACGAATATTACTCTGTCAGTAAACCATATTTCCTACCAAAGTCATTCCTCACCCATGTATTCAGGTCCCTCATCTACCTTTTCAGCCTTTGTCCTGTGTACCCTAGATTATAGCCAGACCAGACTATTTTATATTCTTTGCTAGTTCTACCTCCAGGCCATGCTGGAATTCTCTCCCAATCCTGCTGTTTGAAACTGTGCGACCTTCAGTGCATGTCTTACATATCAGATCTGGGTCTCTCCCTTCTGCATGTGGTTTCACCTGTTCTCAGTATATAGCACCTAGATAGTTGCCTCAAGGTCCTCTTAACTTACTCAGTAGCTATTCATAAATCTATTTTATTCTCCTTGTCAAATATAAAACTTTAAGCTGCAACTTTTCAAGGTGCCCCAAGCACCTTAAAATTTTAGGAAATAAATAATCAGAACAGTGGCTTAAGAGTATAGCTGAGGAGTCAGATTGCCTGAATTAAGATCCAGGTTGCACCACTTGGTGGATATGTAAACTTGGACAAATTGCCTAACCTTTATGCCTCAGTTGTGTTATTTGTAAAGATAGTAGTCCCTAGTTTGTTGAGATTGAGATGAGAATTATAATGAGCTAATGATTATAACAATTTGAAAACAAAACCTGATGTATAGCAAATGCTGAATAACTGTAGTTATTACTTATAGAGTATAAGTGAATAGAGTTGAATAAAGTGGGGAAAATTGGTAGATTTGGTCCCTTACCTTACCCCTTGGTTCCCATAGACTTCTCAGCAGCACAGCTGCTCTGTGCAAAATGGGGAGAATGAACAGGGACTGGCAAACTTGCTTAAGGGCCACAGAGGCATTCTGCCATCGTCTGGCTCTTCCAGGGCTGGCTGTGTAGACATTTAAGCAATACTGGAATGTGGAAACTGCCTTATAGTCATGGATTTTTTTTCCTGTGGTCAGTCATCAGGTATTTATTGAATTCTACTTTATACTCCAAGGTGTTATGTAGGATCAGAACAAGTGTAAGACTCGACCCCTGCTCTGAAAAACACTTTAGCTTTTTGTTATGGACGTGAGATTTTCACATATTACACTATTTGAGAATAATTGAATGTTAAACTGGTGCTAGAATCTGGAAGTTAGACTATTACTGAGTTCAAGGAAGAGCTAAAGTAAGTCTTCTGTGGAGGAGATAGGAACTTGAATGTGTCTTTGAACATTAGACAATTTTTAGAAAGGTGGTTCAGATTGTTCGAGGTTTTGAATAAAGGTTTAAAAAGATTCTTGTTTTATATAACAGCCAGGAGATAAGCAAGATAGGAATAGAGTGAAGAAGGTGTAGGAAATGAGAAGTAATTTTTTTCATCCCTTTGTAAATGAGATATCACTTGGAAGTCTTTTCTAACCTGTGATTATCTAAAAGTCTTTAAAAATCATATCGAGAGATCTTGTTTTCGAGAGTGCTCTGGGCTGGAAGTGTCCCCTTCTTTGGTTTAATTTACCCCAGGTTACATGTTATGTAGTCTTTAATATTTATGGCTGTAATTTTAATAATTTTAGGTGACTTTTAAGAACATACAGGAGTAGATAAATTTATATGTATTTTACGCTTCTCTACTTTGCAGAAAATGAATGGCCATCTCCGGTTATTGAACATTGCCTGTGCCGCAAAGGCTAAGTGGAGACAGGTCGTGCTGCAGAAGGCTTCCCGAGAGTCCCCGCTGCACTTCAGCCTGAGTGGAGGCAGTGAGAAGGGATTTGGTATTTTTGTTGAAGGAGTAGAACCTGGTAGCAAAGCTGCTGATTCAGGACTGAAACGTGGTGATCAGGTAAGTAAATAACCAGCCACTTAGACAAAGCCTTCTTATAAGCAGTACATCTGCTACTTTTGCTCTCATCTGATATTTCTTCGAATAAGCGTAATCAATGTAAGGAAATATTTTTCTGAGCCTCTTTTTAGAGGGAGTATTCATATGTGGTTTATTTTTTAAATGTAGTTTTCATATATCCATTATTTGTAATGGAAAACCTGATGTAGTGTGGCTAAAAACAGCATAGTCCGCTGGGATTTACCAGCATGGCCTCCTTTAGGTGGGCCTGCTACCACGGATGAGGAGACTGTATAAGCTGGCAGTCTTAGAATACCCGAGAAAGATCAATATATGAGTTAGCGTCCTTGCAAATTTTGAAGGAGGCACTTCCACCTCGTAGCTCTCAAGTGTGAATGGCAAAGATTACCATAAATGATAGTAATCATTAAAGGATGGTCATATGGTAACATAACTTCATCCATAAGCGGAGTGAGCCAGGCGAGGGACTAGGGAAAAGGAGACACTAGGAGGAATTTGCTGGCAATTTATTCTTTTCATATAGGTATTAGGTAAGTACAGAGCAACCTATTTCAAAATGTGACCTCCTGACAACATAAAAAATACATTTCCTGGGTTTACCTCAATCCTATTAATCATATTAACCACATCCTTAAGAGATGAAGTCTAAGAATGTATATTTTTAAAAAGCTCTCCAGATGATTCTCATGCACACCAAAAGGTGGTTTCCCAAATCTAGCTGATGATCAGAATCACTTGGGAAACTGACTTTCCCATTTAAAAATTTGTTCATTCATTCATTTAGAATGCGACTTTATTTTACTTTTAACTGAGGCGTACCATCTTTTTTTTTTAATTATAAGAGCAGTTCACATTATAAAAGTTCTATACTTCAGAAGAGTGGTTCTCAACCAGTGGGTGATTTTTGCCCTCCTGAAGGGGACATTTAGCCATATCTGGAGATACTTTGATTATCGTGACTCAGGGATAACTGCTGGCACGTCATGGGTAGAGGCCAAGGATATAAAGTAGTAACAACCCTTTCTTTCCCTGAGGGAGCTTTCTAAAAATAGAGATTTCTGGGCCTTACCCCAGACTGCTCATTAGGAATGTGTGATAGCTAGGATCCTGGAATCGTTATGTTTATTGTTCAAATATTTTAATGTAAACACGTTGAAGAATCTCATTCTTCACAGGAAAAAAAAAGTGGTGAAATCTAATGATTTCATTCCTGGGAATGAAATTTATCATTCTTCTTCCCTCAATCTTCCTAATTATTGTTGAAATGATCTGAGATTTTAGAGCTAGATTATCATTTTTTAACATTATGTTCTTTCTGTTTTGAGAATACTTTTGACATTTCCTTTAAGTTTCATAAGCTTATAAGCAATTGCTTGGACACTTACACTACTTTACTGATTAAATCGATTGCCTGCCTTTTATCTATGCCACCTGTCCCTGTGATTGCGAGTCCTTTCACGGTTGTCTGTCCTTAGTTCCTCTTCTGGTGCTTTTTCAAAAAGGACAGGTGGGTACTACAGTTTTATATGCCCTTGCGTATGTCCAAAGATAACTTTTGTTCTGTGGGACATAAAATTTTTTCTAACAGTTTTTCTCTCAGAACGTTGAAGTCAAAGAAAATTATGTCATCTTAGTGTTGCTCAAGAGAAGTCCAAACAAACTTTTATTTTTCTTTTGTAGGTTCCTTTGGTGATGTTTATAGATTCTTTATTCTCTGCCATGGAATCCCAAAACTTCATGGGATATGTTATATAAATCTTTTTTTATTATCCTTGGATGGTACTAGATGAACCATTTTAGTAGGTAGATGCAAGTCTTTTTTTCAATTCTGGGAATTTTACGCCTGTAGAATTTTTTTTATTTTTCTAATACTTTGTTTTTCACTCTCTTTTTCTTATCTTTTTGGCATCTTTATGTCGATCCCTTAGATCTATCCTCTGTACTGCTTATTTTTTGCTTATTATGTTTATCTCTTTATTCTTTTTCCTTGGAATCAGTATTTTTTAAAATAAGCTATTCTGTGATTCTGAGGTATAGCCAAAGTGGGAAAGCCCTGCTGTGGAGGATCAGTAGTGTTTACGTGGAAGCCGTCTTAGGTGCCCTCCTTGTTCAGCTGTCTGACCCAATCAGTGGCAGAAAACGATACTAAATATATTTAGAGTGCCCCTTTTAAATGAATCACCTCTCTTTGAATCGCAGTAAATTTACATTTAGAATATTTGATGGAACTAGTATATGTATACACAAGCAATAATTTTTGTTAGCTCATTTAACATAAATAAAATTTTTCCTTCATATATAAACTATCCTGTGTGTTTAATTCCTTTAATATAATCCCAGAGGGAGTGAACTTTTAAAAAAAAATGTGTATAGTAGAGAATTTGGGAAATAAAATAACATAGAGAAAAAAATGGTATTCCAGCTTCTCATAGAGATAACCATTGTTCACATACATACATACATTTTATTTAAGTTCCATTTTATTTTTTCACTGTTAAACTTTGAAGGTTGTTGAAGTAACTAATACTGTTCTGTCTTAATTTGTGTTTTTCAAATACGTTTCTCTGAAGATAATGGAAGTAAATGGACAAAACTTTGAGAATATTACTTTTGTGAAGGCCCTTGAAATTTTGAGGAATAATACTCATCTTGCACTTACTGTAAAGACCAACATTTTTGGTGAGTTTTGTTATAAAAACTGCCTGAGCTTTTTTTTAAGAATAGAAAAAAGTCATTATAATGAAAGGAAAGCTATTAATAGTAAAATATAAACATGTTTTTGTCTAATCTGTTATTTTTATTATCTTTGGTGTTGAACTGTCATGTATTCTAGGCTTTTCATGTTGTGTTTGTTTTTAATTATTATTTTGATATTTTATATGTATTTTACCCTTCTCTACTTTGCAGAAAATGAATGGCCATCTCCGGTTATTGAACATTGCCTGTGCCGCAAAGGCTAAGTGGAGACAGGTCGTGCTGCAGAAGGCTTCCCGAGAGTCCCCGCTGCACTTCAGCCTGAGTGGAGGCAGTGAGAAGGGATTTGGTATTTTTGTTGAAGGAGTAGAACCTGGTAGCAAAGCTGCTGATTCAGGACTGAAACGTGGTGATCAGGTAAGTAAATAACCAGCCACTTAGACAAAGCCTTCTTATAAGCAGTACATCTGCTACTTTTGCTCTCATCTGATATTTCTTCGAATAAGCGTAATCAATGTAAGGAAATATTTTTCTGAGCCTCTTTTTAGAGGGAGTATTCATATGTGGTTTATTTTTTAAATGTAGTTTTCATATATCCATTATTTGTAATGGAAAACCTGATGTAGTGTGGCTAAAAACAGCATAGTCCGCTGGGATTTACCAGCATGGCCTCCTTTAGGTGGGCCTGCTACCACGGATGAGGAGACTGTATAAGCTGGCAGTCTTAGAATACCCGAGAAAGATCAATATATGAGTTAGCGTCCTTGCAAATTTTGAAGGAGGCACTTCCACCTCGTAGCTCTCAAGTGTGAATGGCAAAGATTACCATAAATGATAGTAATCATTAAAGGATGGTCATATGGTAACATAACTTCATCCATAAGCGGAGTGAGCCAGGCGAGGGACTAGGGAAAAGGAGACACTAGGAGGAATTTGCTGGCAATTTATTCTTTTCATATAGGTATTAGGTAAGTACAGAGCAACCTATTTCAAAATGTGACCTCCTGACAACATAAAAAATACATTTCCTGGGTTTACCTCAATCCTATTAATCATATTAACCACATCCTTAAGAGATGAAGTCTAAGAATGTATATTTTTAAAAAGCTCTCCAGATGATTCTCATGCACACCAAAAGGTGGTTTCCCAAATCTAGCTGATGATCAGAATCACTTGGGAAACTGACTTTCCCATTTAAAAATTTGTTCATTCATTCATTTAGAATGCGACTTTATTTTACTTTTAACTGAGGCGTACCATCTTTTTTTTTTAATTATAAGAGCA